AGCCTGCCGGTAGGAAGGCACAGGACTGGACTCTATTTGTGCATCACTTTGGACAAGCCCAAAATCATTTCCTTGGGTTCTATCATCATTATATACCAGTAGGCCATATTTTTTACATTGTTCTGAGTAAAATACTTACAAGAGTCTTCTTCTTGCCATCATTTGTCAGGGGTTTATCTAGAACAGGAGCAAATATCGTTTGAACCAGGAAAGTACTTTTAGGTTATATAGGTTATACTTTTTTTAGGGTACCAGAGTCATTAGGAAGACTCTTGTGAGACCCAACAGTTTTGAGTTTCAGGTTCACTGGTTAGTTTAACTGATATGTAGGATAACCTGTAAACTCTTGTGGCTATTTTTTTTTTATCCTTTAACTTACATATTATGTAGTACAAGGAGCTAAGTGGCGGGCTCGTGCCTCATACCTTTCTCAAGGAGGCTTTTCTGTTTTATTGTCACTCCTTTGTTAGCTCCTTGACGAGACGACAGGCCCCCATCCTGCAGCTAATTCTGTGTGGGGAAACCACTGTGCTGATCTAACGTGCCCACCTAGCAAAATCCTACATTACGAACCAGGCTGTTATATACTAAGGAAAGTTGCTCTGACATCCAAACAGGACACCTGTTAGTGTTACAAACATACTGCTACGATTATCATCACTGAAGTAGGGAACAATTGTATTTGAGAGAGCTCCGTGTAGTCAAACAGACCACAGCTCCGCCGCACAAACTGACAGCACTGATAACGCACCTGCACAAAAAAAATAAATTACTTCTTTGTTTCTCTGGGCCTCTCAAACCATGGTTAAAACCAAAAACAAAAAAACAGAAAAGTGCTGTTCTAAAACAAACAAAAATTGACTGCGTGTCCAGGGCAAGAGTGACTAAGGCAACTTATATAACTCTTTGCCTGAAACCAAGCGGATTTCAAGTGGATAGCTCCCCCCTCATGTATTCACTGTCCATGGGTGTGCGTCTAATGACGCAAACACCCAGAAGGGCCCCTTGCGCAGGTACGAAGGTTTTTAATGCAGAAAACAAGCTAGAAAGAGTGACTGCAGCTTTAACCAAAGGCTAAGCTGTTTGCTTAGCATTTCAAAACCCTTCCTTCCTTCCGCAGAGGGGACCTCTCCCCTCTCCCCTGTTTACGCTTGGAAGAAGGAAGCCATGTGCAACCTGCCTTTTCCGGGCCCCCCCCCCATGGGTTCCCCTGCAGCTGAGAAACAGGCCGGGCAGGAGGGGCAGAGCTGAGCTGCACATTTCCTGCATGAAGCAGCGGAGACCAAGCAGAGCCCGCTGAGACAGGAGGGCTGCTTGTGGGGGGTGGTTAATAAAAGCCATTTCCCAGAGTAGCTTGCAAGCCAATACCCCAGCTGCAAAGCAAGAGCCCCCCCGCCGCCTCCGGGAGGCCAAGGTGGGCTTGCGGCGCGGGCAGAGCGGGGCGAGGTTGGTACCTCGCATGGCCCATCGCGGCGGGGGCACCGCCGCCCCCTGCGCACTTCCGTATTGCAGCCGGCTCGCTTCCTGGGCCGGGCGCTTAAAGGCGCAGAGAGCAGCTCAGAGCTGTAAAAAGCAATGCCTCCTTTTCAAATGCATTCTTTATTTTTGCGGCGTTGGTAAACTCCGCACTGTTTTGCTGAGGGTTCAAGATGTGCAAGTGAGCGTGCAAAGTGTGGTCATGCACAGGGGTGTGGGACGGACGTGGCAGAAACCGCGTTGACCCGCATCAGTGTAAGGTTGATCTCTGCCCCTTGAAGGCTCAGGTCACGCGTAGCGGCTTGGGGAGATGCACTGTATCGGCGCAGGAAGGCGGATCTCTGCCCCTCGAAGGCTAAGGTCACGCCTAGCGGCTTGGGGAGGTACAATGTATCGGCGCAGGTTTCCTGACCCGCGTGGCTGGAGAACTGCTCTTCCAGCGGCGTTCAGGACCCGCCGAGGCGCACGTGGAAATGGGAGTCTCCTGCCTTGCTTGCTCCTGCGCCCTGATGGCCGAGGGCAAGAACCCCGGGGCCCCCGATCCCCACGCCCCCGGGCACGTAGGATGCCCGCCATAGGTTTGGGGAACATCTGAAGGCCCAGGTGCGGGTGGAGGAGGATGTTTGCCAAAAATAACAGTTCTGGACTCATGGGTTTGAAATTAGTTTTGGCTAATTTGGCCTCAGATACGAATTATAAAAAAAAAAATCTCAGACTCGTTTCAGCCACTTTCAAACCGATTTACGTGCACTGAACATCTGTTCTCTTGCAGGTTGAAACCAGTTTCTGATCACATCAACCAGTTGATGTGTAATGTCTGTCCCTAGCCAGGAGAGACCCGGGGCATCTGAACCCCAAGGCTCAGGCCTGGGACTTGTGCCTAGGATGCCAGCTGGGTTTGGGAAGTATCGGGGTCTGGGAGGGGGGACACTTGCCCGGTGCTTGCCAACTCTTGAGTCTATTCCAGGAGGTTTCTGAAACGCCAGCGTGCCCGCAACACAACACAAACATGCCCGCATGGTTGTCTATATCAGTTATGGATTACGGTGTGTAGATTTTACATCGGGACAACAAATGTGCATGACTGTTACATTTTAAAATCCCACTGGACTACTGTATACATTGGATTCAACATTTAATATTTATTTTAATGAATGCCCTATGGTTTTCTCCCCAGTGACTCTCAGCAATCTCCTGTAGATGTATATCTAATTCCTGGAGACTCCAGGGCAATCCTGGAGGGTTGGTAACCCTAGGTGACAGAGCCACACAGACTTGATGATTGAGCTCTACCCAGTCGCGCTTTGGAACTTGACTCTCGGGCCTTGCTCGATTGAATTTGGAACTGATTTTAAAGAAAAATCCTCTTCTGTTCCTTTGCCTAGAAGCCCGATCAACACAAGGAGAAGCGTAGAGTAAAAGCAGTAACTTGCAGGGAGAAAAACCCATTGGGAAGATGTGCGGATGGACCCCGAGAGAGTCCAGGCAACACGACAGGGCTCACAAGTAAAGGAGAGCACAGAGCACAGCAGTTTCTAAGATGGGTAAATGCTGTTGATGGATTTGTCCCAGGTTGGAGCTGTATTTCTGAAGTCTCATTTGCAAAACTTCTCTGATTCTGGGAAGACACGCAGCAGAGGGGACTTGAGAGGCTGAAACAGTTGGTAAAAGCAGAGCCTGTCCTGAGATTGTATGAGGGTGACAAGCTGTCACATAGGGCTTCTAAACTAGGCATTGGGCCAGTGCTTTCACAAAAATATCGGGAGAATTAGAGATGCATACTCTAGGCAGTGATTCCCAACCCCAGGGAGGAAGGGTGCTGCAGGAAGTGGGTAAGATCAGCAAGGTGAGGAGACAAGCAGATAAAGGCAGTCTCAGGCTCTTCCCTGCCTGGCTGCTCCCATGGCCCCCCTGCAAGGAAGTAAGCACTGTAATAAATAAGGTAGCTTATGAAATGGGGCGCCCCTCAATTCACAGGACTTCCGGAGGGCAGCCTCAAGTTTAAAAAAGGGTGAGAACCACCGTTCTAGAGTAGCAGACAGCAACCTTTACCAGTGGTGGCCAGAATGGTGCCCTGGTACTATGGCCCGGCTGCCACTGCTGCTTCTCTCCATCCCACCCCAGACCCGGTTGCACATGGGAAAGCTCCCCATGGCCCAGGGGTGTCATGGTGCAACGTAGTGCAAGGAAAACTCCCGCTGCCAAAGCCCCAGCTCCACAGGCAGATCCGATGGCTCTGTGGGATGGATTCAGCCCATGTGACATAAATTGCCAACCCCCCTTCTCTAAAGCACTTTCAAAAGATTACTCAAGTTAAAAAAAGAGGGACCAACACAAGTGTGTATGCATGTAAGGAATGTGGTAGGCAACCGTCGATCCTCTGGATCATAGTATTCACGTAAGAGGTATAGTTAGGTGATGAATCTGCTTGTAGAGTCCTGCAACCATCACACCAAGACCTTGACATGTTTGCCTGGACAAGAGTATGGAGAATGCCCAAGACCTACCATCCCCACGTTAGAGCATTGAGACAGAATCCAAAGGCCAGACTGAGTCCAGATGTTCATTGCCTCCCTCAGTGCTTGTAGCTTCTGCCAGAGAGCAACAGATAAGAACTACTGGTGACTGCCTAGCACCTCAGAGCGGGTGTGTGTCTGTCATGGTGATGTCCCTTAGCCTTTCTCCAACCAAGGAGTAGAGTACTCATAAGGCAGGGGGCTAGGGTTTTGAGGTGCCCTATACTTACCTTATTCTGGAGGTTGCAACTTTGTGGTATTTTGTAGGAGCCACCCTACCACGAGCAAACCCACCACGTTGTCCTCAGACCCTCCACTCATGCAGTTTGCAATCATACCCAGGACCAGTAAGGAATGTAATATATTCATAATGGGAGACCAGCATGGCAGAGATCTATCACAAGCCTTTAGTGACTTGCCTCAAAAAAATGACATGCCTCCCATATCACAAACTGTTGTTTCAGTTACAACTATATGATTTGGAATTAAAATAACAATCTGGAAAATCTTTTGTGGTAGCTGTAGCTGACATGTTTTCTATGACAGAGTTAAAATACCCAGTATGGAGTCAGATACAGCGCATCTGAAACTTGCTTATAAAGATAGTCCCTGCGTCAAATAATACACAGCCAGTAATAGTCGAGGCCACAGCACAGGATAAAACTTTACAGAAAACAATCCATGCATGAATGCTGGACAGCCTACATAACACCTGCCTAGGCCATGCAACCATTTTCAAAGTAAACCATATGCTCCTCGTACAATTTTATTTAAAAGTACTAAATTGATTATTCCCAAAGTCGTGTAACAGGGAATGTTGAGCTGGATAGATGAAGGACATGTAGGAATAGAAATATGCAAAAGCCAAGGCAAAACTGAATACTAGCCCCACATGAATGCTGAAGTAGAGCAGTTTATCAGACCGTGCAACACCTGTGCAAAAAACAGAAACTGTCAAATTAAGCAACCTATGCTTGTAAGAGCTAAAACTCAAAAGCCTTGGTCCAAAGTTAGCACCAATCTTTTTGTGTATTCAGACCATAACTGTGTATTGTTTTGGACTATTATTCCCATTATCTGGAAACTGCAATACTGGATAATTCAATGGCCAGATGTGTCATCACACACATCAAATCAATATTTGCCAGGCGTACCTGAAGTGGTCATCATGACTGATAAAGGACCACAATTTGATGCCTACAAATTGAAAAGGTTTTTTAAAGTCTATAATTTCAAACATACTCTCTCTAGCCCATTGTATCCATAGTCACATAGCTTAGTGGAAAATGGTGTTAAAATCTTAAAGAAGCTACTTAAAAATGCTGAGAGCTCAAATCCAGATCTCTTCCAGGCTCTGCTGAAGTACAGAACATTGCCTTGGTAAGAAGGGTTCTCACCACCACAACTGTTGTTCAACAGAGAACCAGAATTGAACTACTGGAGCAGAGACGGGGTGCGTGCAAATGATCAAAATCTCTAGAGGCTACGAAGAAGAAATGAACAGAAGGGGTACTACGACATAGAGATGCATGACTTGCCACTTTTGCAGTCACATGATAATGTACAAATCTATGATGGCAAAACATGTGCACAAGAGGCAATAGTCTCAGAAGAGGTGACTGCTTGTTCATAGGAGGTCACTGGAGACATACTTAAGAGAACCAGAACTGCTAGAACATCTTCCATCGAATAAGAAGAAAAGAGAGCAGAGTACAGAAGCTCCAGGACCTTAAACCAAACAAGCTGCAGTGACAGTAGTCAAATTCAGCTGCAAACACTGAGCTTCAGCTAACACTAAGGCAGTGTATAAACATTAAAAAACCTACCCCAAGACTGAGAGCTGCTGAAGCTAGAATAGTAAGAATGTAAATAAATGTTCTTTTGTATGACAAAAATGGTGCCTGAATCTTTCTCTTTGTGTGCTTTGTTTTTTTTTATAGATTCAGGAGCTCTTGACCAGCAGAGACATTACCAGGGATCACTACGTGGAAGTGGCTCTTGTCAGTCCCCTAAATGAATGTGATGTTTGCAGAAAATGAGAAATTTTGGGATACCAGCCCTTTAAATGGCTTGTAGTCTCTTACTGTGTTGGTTGAATAGACATGGCTGTGGGTAGTTGCTTATATAGAAGTTGTATAATCGAGTCATCTCCCAATTATAACCCTCTCTCTCAGTTTATAATGTAATAAAACTCATCTGTTTCTGAAAGCCTGAGCACGGCTCCTCTGCTGAAGTCACAAATAACTCAGCCATAGTAGTGAACACCATTAAAAGGAAGAGAATACATTAGTCATGTTAAAAATAGGATGTTTTTATTTTTCTAAGTCTGTTAAAATGTCTTAGAGCAACTTTGAATAATTTTGCACTTGGTCAAAATTAGAAAAGTTATGTATTTGCAAAGCAAATGGCCTGCACTACAGCCACCACCCTGCACTACTCAGCTAAGGAACTCACATTTGCTTTTCATAATTCCTCTGTTGCTTGTTTACTTTTTGGGTCTCAATTAGAACAAATTGACCAGTGTCACGTGTGTGTCTCTCAATGTTCACGTTCTAGTTATCTCCTACAGTAGCACCAATGCCAAAAGGTTTGACTGGAAGTCCCTGCAGGGGATATTGGGTTTTATTTAAATGTTTCCAGGTCACCTCTTTTTGCCTTTGAATTGAATTTCTATACCCAATAAATACTGACAAGGTTAAAGTTAATTATTTACTCGCAGTTTCAGGGTCCTAATCCAAAAGCTCCTGGTTCCTTGTTTAAATAATTAATCTTTTTTAGAAATCCATAATATACGTTAAAATATATATTGCACTATTTTGCGATAATCACTAATATGAAGTGTAATAAAATACTGAAAAACAAGCTCTGCAATCATACAGTAAAATATATATATAATAACGTTGATTTTGATACAGAACGAAATACTTCTTGGGTCATCCAAAGTGACACGTCCCTGAAACTTTTTCAGTGACATACTACCTCTCGAGACCATTCCACTACACGCATGGCACTTGCAGTAAGGAACGGTGCACTCACTGTATGTCAGCGATACAATCTCTCTCGGGCCACCCTGAATGGCACATCACTGTGATCAGAGGAGTCTCCCGAAGGAGCTGGGAGAGATTTCTTACCTAATGCTTTATTTTTCAGTTGCATGTAGTCACATGTCACCACCCTCCCCCACAACTCCATTCAGCTATTAGCAAATGTCTTAAATAAGGAACTGGTATTTCACCAAATCCGTCTCAAAACTTCTTAAGTGCACATCAGAGTGACTGAGGGAATCTGGGGAAGACGCAGAGATCGTGTATTGCTTGAGCCAGTATGTTTTTCTTGAGCAATATCCTGCCATTTACCCAGGTCCCAGCCCCTGATTTCTTTACGTGTTGCAGCGAGGCCTGGATTTCAGCTGCATGCTAACGATAATGTATGTTTTAGGCTACCTTTCATTAAGTGTCTCTGTGACCATTTTACATCCTTCAGATATACCTGGAATATACTACGTCCTTCCTGGAAGGAAAAACGATGTTTTGTTTTGTTTTGTTGTACACTCTCGTTTCCCCTGCGGCTTACCTGAAATCTAACCTGCCTCCAGCCAAAACGTTGTCGTCTCAAACCTGGGCAGCTCAACGTCCAAGCTGGCTCAGAGGAGCTGAAACGACTTGTCGCTTGGGGATGCTTATAACAGATTTGGCCGTTGACACTGAATACATCCGAGCTCCTCGATTCAAACGCCGCACGTCCCGTGGAAGGAACGGGGAGGTCTTGTAAGAACACGTTACTAAAAAAGGTAGCTTTGAGCAGGAAAGCACCCAAATCCAGCTCCTTTTGGAGAGTCCCTGTTCGTAGCCGGGTGCCTGAGACACATTTGGTCACTGACATTTATCCTTAGAGGTTTTTAAGACCTGGATAGACAAAACCGTGCTGGGATCATGCAGCTGGGGGTGGTCCTGCTTTGCACAGGGCCAGGCTGGGCCAGACGTGACCTCCTGAGGCCCTTTCCAACCCTCCTTTTCTATGATTCAGTCAAATCCAGCTCCTTGCTTAAGAGCTTTGTAGATGGCGGGTTAGACTTTGGGGTCAGGGTGACAAGCCCCGGTCTGAATTCACAATCTGAATTGGCTCCGATTCACCACCACCCGTCCTTCGCACGGAGTCACGGCGCACAACACATGCGTGCGGCGGGGCGGGGCGGGGCCAGGGGGCGGGGCCCGGCGGGAGGCCGTTGGGGTGGCCCCG